AGAAGAGGAAGAAAAAGAGGGAGAAGAAGAGGAAGAAGAAGAGGATGTGTTTTAAGTCTTGGTTAGTTTTAATCTTTCTAGTGTATTATTCAGCGAAAGTGGTCTCTTCTTATTACTACAATACAGGTTTTAGAACACATTTACTCCTACAATTATTTTTAAAATGTGTATTGCACACCTATAATTGATTGTTCTTCCTTGTTTTTAAAGATACACAGTAATCGTTAAATGAAAAAATATTCAACTTATTTATTTAATAACTAAACACAAACACGAGTATTTATATTTTACTAAGTTGTAATTAATCGCAGCGATAATATTAGATGTAGACAGAGAACTGTTATTCCTCTGAGTTCTGTATTAAAAATGATATTCTAATAATATGAATTAATGTTGAAAGTAAGTTTCAGCCAAGGCTTGTTGTAATTGATGCTCGAGTTCTAATAATACATATTACAAAACTGATCTCAGTAACGTGAAGATTGACTTTATGTAATGTCATAAAATGTTTTAGGCAAATCAACATTAGCTTCGTAAGAAGAAATACTCACTCTGAAGACATTAAAAAGTTAATAATACCTGATTTTTTCTCGTTTTTCTTGTTCCTCTTTCTCTTTACGATCACGTTCTTCTTGCTCTTTGCGTTGAATTTCAAGCAAAGCTTTGCGACGACGTTCCAATTCTGCCTGCCCCTTTTCAAAATTCTCTTTGCGCTTATCTTCAAATGTAACTGTAAATAACATTTCCAACAAAATAAAACTCTGATTATAAAAGAAGATAAAACAATATTCCCTTTCAATTTTTAAAATTTTAAAGAAATAAGATGGTTCTACAGAAAAAATACAAAATCAAAAAATTATACTTGGTTGAACAAGAATGATAAATTTTCAGAAATGGACAATCTTTGAACGTAGAGGACTTCACACGCATTAGATTTTTGATGTGAGAATTCTGCTTTTGCTACATCAATAACACAGATAGATTTTGGTGTCTTGTATCAAAACAGCCAAAATACAGTATACAAAAGCCAAAAGTTGTCAGAACAAAGATTTGACATGTTATTTAAATTTCAAAAAAACTATAGTAAAATTTACAATTCCACAATGTTTTTTCACGATTTAAAAAAAAAAAACCACTAAGGTGATGGGGCAATACTGGTTTCACATTCGGATTCAGTATGTTGACATACATGGAGACATGTGTGAAGTGTTTGGGTCTGACCACAAACCCTGAAAATAAAAAATACAATTTCATGGTGGGGGTAACAATTGAAAGAAACTGGAGGGTGGTGGTGTAATTCTGATTAGGATTAAGCATGTCACATACAGAATTTTTTTTGTGCCTTTATTATTATTGCTATCATTGTAAGATTCTAATTAAAAAAATATATTTGAATATACACAAACAAATTTGAATAGTTTTTCAAATTTTTGTATTTTTTGAACATGTTTTTGAGAAAAACTCACAATTATTAATGGGTCTATAACAAGTCTCCTAAATCTACTGTTGTGATTATTCTGTCACAACAACTTAGCTAATAGTGACTACCCATTATTTATCATTTTAAATTCTTCCATTAATTAATACCCCAAGAATACATTAAATGATTACTAAGTACATAAGAACAGTACAAGAAAACAATGTTTTTATAGGTAAAATTAATGTTTACAACATATCCATAAGAGGCTACACCCTATGTTTTAAGAGCCAAATTTCACTAATATTCAATACCCACTTGCTGACACAAGACATCACATTCCTGATTAGGAATAAAAGGCCATGTTCTTGTGCACCAAATTAGTAGCACAGAGTTCTTGCAATAGAACATTGATAAATTGCTGCTACCATAAATATATAACTAAATAATTCTCTGTCGATGGAATGGAAAGAAACATACCAGTAGGAAGACTAGAAGCAGCATCCTTTCCTTCCACTGGTTCTCCTGCACCAGCAGCACCAGGAATGCTGCCCTGACGTTGTCTTCGGAATGTAGGTGGAATCAGATCTGCAGGTAATGGAGTGGGAATCTTCTCTCCAGCTTTTGCGATGTCACAGAGGTGCATTGCCAGAACAAATTCTTCGCAAGACAATCTACCATCTGAATCCATATCTGATAAAGCCCTATAGACACAAATTCATGTCCCTATTTTTATTTCTACAGAGGAACAGTTCACATTATCAAAACTTAAAGACTAATAGACAAAAAAATATTGCATATTGAATAGTAAAATTGTTGACATTGTAAACTCAATGAGTTGGTGTCTCTTTTACCACACATCTCTTCAGCATAATGTCCCTACTATCAAGCCATTCTAAAAAATGAAGATCAGCACAAGGAACTAACTCACATAAAGCTAAAGACATATGATATCAGTTAAAATATGAATAAAGAAAAAGAGATAAGTTAAAATTAAATTAAAGTGAAAGGATAAAATTGTGTGCAGGAGCTACTATTGTTTCCATTGATTTTTCAAATACATTTGGGATATATAATGACAAACCATTATTTATATGCTGCAATATAATATATTTAAATATTGAAACTATTTTTCTTGTGTTATTTATATTTTCATGTGACAACCCCAAAAAAGAATATCATAAAGGATAAACAAACAATTTTCAAAAAAAGGTTAACTATTGATTTTTCAGACTTATTTGAAACCTAAAATTCACACTTGTAAAATTTTGCTTTTGTGGCATGTCATTATTCCTTGAAACTCTTCAAATTTTATTTTAGATTAAACTGTACTTTAGCTCAGCTCCTCTTGAGAGTTCTAACAGATTTTTGTATTGTAATAGTTTTATCACATTAAAGGTAATTGAAAATTACTGATATTGGCAAAATGAAAATTCCAACTCTTTTTATTCCAAACCAATTCTGGGAATCAAGTTGTTTTGCTATACTTGTGCAGTTCTTATATAATGGTGAAGTTTTGGCTTTGAGATTTAAATAAAATTATCTTAAGTGTGGCCAATGCAATGTTATAACAACATTTTTACACCAAAAAACTTGTACAGATAATGTTGACATCCTCCCCTCCCTTCTCACAGCATCCACAAACAGAGAGGCCAATCTTAAGTAAAATCCAGCATTATATGACTACAGATTATCTATGAAGGAAGATGCTCATCATAATTTTGAAAGGGGCCCAGTGGCCCAATACCATAAAACAATTTATTTACATAAAAAAGATCAATTCCATATTTTCCTATTTTCAGCTAACACTTTGAAGAATTGACACATGACATTGGTGAAGAGGTTCTCCAAACCATTTAATAATCTTTGAAATCGATCAACATAAAATCAATATTGCATTTACTGATATTATCTTATTTAAGTTACTTCATTCTCCCTGCAGAATCATTATTTACTTCCTAGTTAAATATGTCATACATAAATAAAAGTTTAATGAGAAAGGTAACAGGAAAGAGTGTGGTCCTTCCTCTTGTTTTAGGTCCTGCACACCCACAACTCCCACCAATATGAATGACAACAAAGTAGAACATTTTTAAACAAAATATTAAACTATTGGAGCTACAACAGCACATTCTTCCTCACATTATTTGTAATTGCAATGCAATATTATAATACTACATAAACCTGCAAAAACGTTTTCAACCAGCAAAAATTTTTTTTACCACACTAAGACATTAACTCACAATCTTAGAGAGTTAGGCAGCCATTTACTTTATCCCTTCACCACCAGCTTCACAGCAAATCCCAACAATCCTGAGGACAAGTGGAACCTTTGCATTTCAATTTTTCCAAAATTCATTGGAGCAGTTTCGAGAATTTTGTAAAATAAATTGCCCTTACATCAATAACAAATAAAACATTCAATTTTTTGCCTTGAAATTTAAATATATAAATTTTAAGAAAGATTTCATTAAGGAAAAAAAAAATAATATTGTACCATTAGTAGTTAAACTCTTGCAATTTTCGTAAATACAGAATTCACCAAAAATGGGATCTACACCAATTTTTTAGGTGTACTTTGGTCTGAGAAAAACATTTTTGAATATTTTTTTATTTTGGTGCCTTTTTGAGAAAATAATTGTTTAAAAGTGACCTATTTTTCAATGGAAAATTATGTGGAAACTACTCAGATTTTTGGAAAATTGATCATCACCTTCTTTGGGATCTACACCAATGTCTTTGAAGAATTTTGTTAAGGGGGGAAAATGTATCGTCAATCTTGTAGATGTAGGAAGATGCCAAAACTATAGTGAACTTTTGCAACATTCGAAAATTCAGGTCTTTCAATAACAATGAGATGTGGACTATTTTTTTAACATATTTTGGGGTGTCCGAGAGCAAATTTAATTCATAAATTAGTGGTCATTTCTGAGAACATTTTGAAAATGTCGAGGCTTCATGTGAATTACCCCAAAAATTCGGTTTCAAAACTCGCAGGGCTATGAATTTGCCCAGATCAATTGGGGAATAGGTATCAATTTTGAAGAAAATCATCTGAATGTTTTAGGTGCTAACGTTGACCATGAACAGCTGAATGGATTGACTGTCGATCAATTTTTCAGTATTGAGGACCCGGCAATTGTGAATTCTGACAGCCCAATGTGTTATTGGAAGTTATTTACTACAGATGGGGACAAGATTAATTCACTTTTTCGATTCCAAGACCACAAAAATACAGGCTCTCCTGTCTAAAATCACAGATCTTGGGCACAGTATTGTAATATCTTTTCTCTCTACAACATATGTATTGAGAGAAAGTAAAAATGTAAAGGCTCACTTGTGTCGAATAAACGAAGATAAAATGCAATGATGAGTTATGTAACATTAGAGTCAAACAGTATATATAAAAATACAATAAATAAGAACATTAATAATAATAATAATAATAATAATAATAATAATAATAATAATAATAAAAACAGGCCTATGGTATTGCAATATGTTAATAGAGTGGGTGTGGATGATTTTAGCACAAAACCTACCTACAATGAACCAGGAAAGGATTTAAGAGAAAAGGCTAAAGTAAGATGGCAAGATGCAAATTCAAAAATATAAGTATAATAATAATCTATTTTATTCCTCAATTAATGTAATTACTTTAAAATTCATTAATTTCATTCAATGTTTCGATCATATGAGAGTCAATTCATCAATGCCACAGATCCTAAAATCAGCTACAATGAGTAATGACCCTCAAATAAAATAAATTGAAATTTATTAAAATAAAAATAAAATTAAAAAAAATTAATAATGGTTTTAAAAAAATATTTCATTATTTGGGTTGACTGGAGTTTTACAGTTGTCTAACTAACTAACCTAGCTGACTATTGCTTCTGGTAAGATTAATATTAATTTCCTGACAAAAATTAGGCGTGTATCTTCTACTAAACCAAGCAATAAAGATCATTTAAGCTGTTTTATGCAAGCACCAGTTCATGATGGACAGCAGTTGATGTGTTTTCTTCAAAGGTCTTGAAAATTTGAAGTAATCAGGAGAACAGAAAGATGAAAGACACAATAGGAGTACTTTAAGGAGAAGAAATAACTGAACAATTACCTTACTCAAAGCAATACCAATTACTTGATGTTGCTTAGAGCAAATCTGTTTTTCATTATAAGTGAGAGAAGAGAATCAATAGAAAGTCTGTTATATAAGGTATTTTTGAACTATACATGGTTGTTCTTTGCAATAGAGCATCAAAAGAAAGTTAATTATTGTTTTGGAAGCTAATTTTCAAGGGAAAATTTAAGCTGAATATTGTTCTTAAATTTGTTAATTTTAAGAACTTTACTTAAGCTCAGAAGTGAAAACATTGAAAAAGTGAGTTAGAAATTTAAATTTGTTATTTTTTGCAATAATTACTCAACGTGATGCTAACATGATTAGAAAAAATTACGAAAAGCCTAAAATGGGCTATATAAACTTCAAACAAAAGCCAAATTGATTTTTATAAAAACCTAAAAATTAAGGCCCTTTTAATAATTACACACTGGAGGACTGAAGCACAGGTGGAAGGAGAATTCAAAGTGAGATCATTAAGGCTCAAAGGTCCGCAGTGCTACCTAACAAGAGGTGCACTGCGGTAGTCACAATTTGACAACATAAAACTACGTTTAACTTCTCCATTGGCAGTAATATTAAGATATTCAGTAATAAGCATGAATACGTCAATCTGGGCACAGTCAATATTCCAGAACTGTTGAAAAACTCACCAAATCTGAGCCAAAACTTGCTGTGCCAACTGTGTTTGTACCATTATATTTCGAGCTTGAGGACCAGAGAGATACCCTGATCGTGCTCGATCAGTAGTATTAAAAAGCTGAGTGTATTTTAATTTTGATTGGTGAGGTACTGCCCACTCTTGCAACGGAGAACCCACAGATAACCTGCACAAAATAAAATATATTTAGGATGCTACAAATGAAAACCACAGCAATAAATGATAATAACACTTACGGAGAGTCAAGAGAAGCTACTCGTTCTACAGCAGGTGCTCCTGATACTGGAACTGCAGCTACTGTAAAATTTCCATGTCTGATATAAATATTAACAATCTACAATTACAAATTACAATAATGAGTAGAATTGGAAGTCTTAACATATTCTGAATTCAATAATAATATATGAAATTTCTTCATTCTTTTTTGGGAGTTTCTTTAATTAAGACCAACTTATCAAAAATGAAGCTACTTGTCATTTACGAGGCAGATGTTTCAGCGCCACTTCTTTCACTGCCTTCTTGAAATGAATGGTACTAATTGTATTAGATTTATTTGTGATATATAATACAACCATGCCCTCCATGCATGGAAAACTGGCCATGCCATTCTTTTTTACACTTGCCTCCAGAACAGAGAAGACAATTAGGAACCAATGAGGGTAAAAAGAGGCAGTGAAAATCATCAAAATTTCCAAACGTTGAAGGCTGACTACGGCCTATGTGTCCATGAGACCTTATTTAACATTAACATCCAGTCAGAGTAATCCCTTTTTCCCATCTCAGCCAGGAGGCCTGTTACCTGATTTGCTGATGCCTTCCCTGCCTTGGCCGATCATTTGACCATACATGGTCAAAAAAGTTTTTTGTATTTTGTAGCTGAATTGTAACTAAATGAACGTTTAAAAAATAAATGAGTAGATGTGAATGTAGTATGCTCAATTGCATTGCAAATATCAAATTAGATCTAATGTCCCCTTACTATATTTTTATAACTTCCATTTACTGGGCACCTTTTTCAACAGTCAATTTTTTCTAGAACGAACATTGGCTGTTTAATACAGATTTCTTTGTGTATGTTACTACATTATATGATTCCTATTTGTCAAACATACTGTCTTATAACATTTGAAATAATTCAAGCATATTTTACAAGTAAGAACATATGAGGAAAGGACATGATTTTTTGTCTGTGAGTCTGCAAATGTGTGTGCGCGCGCGAGAGAGAGCGAGAGTGAGAGAGAGAGCGTGAGGCAGTGTGAGACAGTGTGTTGGGATTGGTGTGTGTATGTGTGTGTGTGAGAGAGAAAGGGAGAGAGCGTGTGAGGGAAAGAGAGAGAGTGCGTGAGAGAAAGAGAGCGCATGAGAGAAAGAGAGCACGTGAGAGAAAGAGAGCATGTGAGAGAAAGAGAGCGCGTGAGAGAAAGACAGAGTGTGTGAGAGAAAGAGAGAGAGTGTGAGAGAAAGAGAGAGTGCGTGAACATGAGAGTGCATGAGTGTGAGAATGAGAGAGCGTCAGAGAGGTCACGTGCACATCTCTATAATTCTCTGGAGGTATTCTTCATTATTTGGAGAACTGGTGAAAATAACTTAAAACTCATAACGGCTCCAATTCAGCCAAAAATTATTTTGACTGATATGATTTGTTAATCTATGTCTTAAATCAAATCTATTCATCCCTAGCAAACTTTGATAATGATAGTTAACTAGTAAACATTTGTTTATACAGAAAAGTTTTTGTAAGAATTATAATAATTTTAATTAATTTGTTATTACATTAAAAAAATCTTGAATAAAGAGTAATTTTATTTTGTTTAAAACAAATTTAAATTTCTTTTGAACAGATCAATTTTCTGCATTATGTGTGATTAACTCACTTTCTTTAAATCTGTATTTTCTGAAGCAACTCGTAAAAATTGAAGTCTAGTATATTTTCTACAAAAGAAAGTAAAGACGACCTTTGATTATGAACTGCTCTAATTTTCTAGTTGAAACCATTATGGTTTTTAAGTAAAATAGCAATATTTTTAATATTTTGAGGGTGTTGAGACAGGTCTTTATCATTATCCAATACATCTGAAACTGACAATTTCATTCTTTCACAAAATGACAACTTTAGGGGGTTCTGCCAAACAAATATCCGATATTAATTTCTTCTGACCCCTCTATGCGTATGCTTTTTACATCAACCATACAACTTTGGACTCTCTACTTCAACTATAAACAAATAAAATTTTACAGTTTGAAAATCAAAATTCACAAAAATTGCTGAGGTACTGACGATGTAAGAGAGAATAAACAAAACTGAATATTTGAAAAGTATAAAAATAAAAAGTTCAAGTGAAAATGAGACTTTCATAATGCATTTGAACAACCATATAACCCACTACTGGCCAATATCTCAATTTTTGGGATGCTTTTTTGAATTTAAATAAATGGACAATTTTGTAATTTTGCAAAAAAATAAGATGATATATCATTATAACAGGGAATGTAACAACTTTTCATGAGGAAATGAATTTAGCATGTCCATTATTTCTTAGTACAAAGATATTCTAATTGCATTGCCATTAGCATAGGCACTCCAGAACCAGTAAATATGAATCAGCTGGGACCAATGTCCCAAAAATGGGATGACCTCTTCCTCAAAAACTATAGGCGTTATTGACTCAAAAACTAGTAGACATTCTTAAAGTGTCATTTTATAGCGTCAACAATCAGACAGTTACTTTTCATCCACCCAGAGAGTTGCAGCCCTTAATGGGTTAAACAAATTTGAAATTATTTTGAATTTTTAAAAATTAATACAAATTTCATAAACAACCCAAAAGTCTCCCAACTTAAAGTAATTTAATCATACTCAAAGTTTTAGAAACAGATGAAAGACGAACTCATAATTTGGAAAATATCACACTCTCCTTTCAACCCAAGCAATTAATAACAAATACATAAATAAAAAATAAAAAATAAAAAAATAAAGAAAGTTTAAAAGGTCAAAGAAAAATTAGAATTTTTAAGTATCCACAACTCTGGAACAAGCATTTTTGTCATGACTATAACACAGGCACTCTCTGAACTCTATACAAGAAAACAAAAATGTATACACATTCAACAAACAGGAAATTTACATGAAAGAAATACTGGGAAAGAAGTACAGGAGCATAATGAGAATTTACATCACTAACAAATACATGAAGTCCACTAATACAGAGAAAAGAAAGAAAAAAACAACAGTTGAAAGACTCTGTTCCCATAAAATAAATCAAATTAAATCATATTACCTGGTGGTGGTCGGGGAGGAGCAACATTCTGACCCACCACAGCTCCATTGGTGAGAGGTTGGGCAATTCCCACAGGAACAGAAGTTGGCACACTTGTGGGCATAACCATGGCAGTAACTAAAGGTGCAGAGGGAGGGATACCATGAGGAATAGCTGTAGGAACAACAGGAGGCACACCTGCTGTTAAACCCATTGGTGCTGCTGTAACTGTTGTTGGTGCCACCGATGCCATGCTTAAGGAAGGACCCATGGGCCGTGCAATACCCACAGCAGTTGGAGGAACACTGGGGGCTATTCCCATGGACATGGGAGGGATTGCTGCTTGGGGAGCTATAAGAGGTGGGTTGATAGCAGCATTGGGTAACCCTACTAGTGGAACTGCAGGCACCACAGGAGGAACACTCTGTAGCAGAGTACTGTTAATCAAGTTTCCTGAAACTGGACAGACTCACAATGGTAACAGGACACTAAAAGAAAAAAATGTGAAGAATTAGTAAATTGTAATAAAACTTACCACTTGGAGGACTAGTGACATGCTGCAAAAAACTAGGAGGGAGTGCTTTTGGTAATTCAAATCCACGCAGTTTCAAATTGATCAACTTACATGCAATGCTAAACTCGTTTATGTTCATTTTACCATCAGCATCAGTGTCAGCCAATGACCTGGTAAAAGCATGCTATCAGCAATAAAATCATCAGTATATTTATCTTCAATAAATAATCAATCTACGCACCATATGTGGCCCAACACAGCAGGTGGCAACTGGGATTGTAGAAGAAAACCTTTGGCTTGTTCTCCAGTAACAATCCCATTTACTGGACGTAAAGATTTAAACTGCTCTTCATAGCGAGCTCTTTCTCGTGGTTGGATTACCCATGGGTCAACAGGTACTATTAAACAAAACATTTCTCATTCATACTACATTACCACAAAATGCCAAAACTATTTTATTTTAATTGAAGCAAAGTAATCAGAAGTATCATAGCTCTACCTTGTTTCCCTTGTGTATTTTCTTGTGTACGAACTTTACAGGAAATGTAACATTTGAAGGAGTCATTGAAAGAGTCACAAGCCACAAATCTTAGATATATAAGTTTAGCACCATTATACTCTTTGGGCAACCTTCTTTCTATTCAATATTGTCCATTTTCTAGTCAAATTGCAGGGTAACCATTGACTCATTTTCGAGACCCACTATTGATTTACAACTTTTTTCTTTACATTGTTTTTAATTTCTTTCTTTTCTAAAGAATTCTGACCAGTTCTAATTTGTAAATTTTATGATTTGTGGTCTGTTTTAATTTTGAGAGAAGCCTTCCCCCATGAACGATACAAGGAACTGCGTTTGTAAGTCTTCTAACTAAAAAGGGGTGCTTTGCCAGGATATACACAAGTATATGGGATGTGACGATTTTACCACTCCAAGAGCTCTTTTCAAATAAAAGGCTTTTACTTGCCCAGTGATACGTGTGGCCAACTTATTTTTATTGCTTATGCTCAAATCTGCATTATTTTTGCCTTGAATAATTTTATGGGAGTGTCCAGTAATAGCATTCAGATGTATTCCATCATTTCTTACACTGTCAGATTAAGTCATAAAATTAAAAATGGAATGACCCAGCTAGGCCATGAGGAAGTTTCAAAATGAATAAGCAACATGCCTTACATGCAGCATCTTTGAAAATAAATGCTTAGTTAAATCTTTGTAGAATACGTTCATTTTCATGATTATTAAAGAAGTTCACAATTTTTCAATATCACTGATTTATCTACAGCCTCATGTAATTTGCATGTGTGAGTAGATCTCACAACTATCATTGCAGAGTTCAAAAGAAATCATCAATCAACAATGGATCACGTCCTCTATAGAACTAATAGAGCAGCAAACTTCAATACCGCAAAACAACATTTTTTCCCCTAATTAATAAAATAAATTATGCATTACTGTATGGTAACCACAGGTCATTACAGGTTAAATTGTCTCAAAACTGTGTGGCTTACGATTATCCTGGACAGACTCTTCATATATATTAAGTGTTGAATCATTAGAAACTCTAATAAAATGAGGCTTTTGTACTTCATCATATTTAATTTTAATATTACTAACACAAGCAACAAACTTATCATTATGTTTGTTAATGATATTAACATGTGAATATCAGGACATGTAAAATTACAGAAGCACTTACATAAATTTGCTTTAGAGGATAACATACATACAAATTAGTTTTCATCCAATCACTTATGACTTACACTTACACAGTCTATTAATACAATAAATCAGTACTATGAATTTGTTGTGTAAAACAAAGTTGGACTGCCATGGAAATTGTTTGCCTTGCAAATAATAAGAAATTACTTGCGTTTTGACAAAATTGGTATATCCAACTTTTCCAAATGAATAAATCTAGAATTATAATCTACATTAGTCAACAACTACAATAAAAATTATTCAGATTTGAAATTAATTTCTTACCTGCAGGAGAAGCCATGATGCCAAGTTTATGAGAATCTGCACAAAATAATAACATTTTTAATCAAACTATTATTACATAAAATTTAGAAAACCTATTTCTTGCCATATCTAAAATTACAACTTGTCTTATTTGAAAGTAAATAAATGATAACTGTCAGTTATCAATCATTTACACTAAGTGAATATTCACAAAAGATTCATTTTTCTAAGAAAATGCCAACATCTTTCCTTTCAATAACATATACCTCATTTGTTATAATATTATTTTACTACACATAATTTTGTCTTATGAACAATTTAATTGCTTGTCACAACAAATTAAAAGTTTTTCTGAAGGTAGTGGCAAAAAATGTTTATATATTTATGATTGTCAATTATTGTCATTATGCACCAGAAATTACTCTCGCAATTCTTAAATACGAAATTACTTAAAACACATTACAAAAACCACAAAGCTTCACTCAACATTCTAGAATTGCTCCAATGACCTACTGTATGTACACAGAAAATATTTACATGAATTTGCAAAACTTATAATTACCTTCAACTTTCCCCGCTCAGGTTAGAGTATTGAAGAACATTACTCAATTAACACAAGATAATTAGATGGTAATGCATTTTTACATGGGTTGTACGCTTACTCCGCAATTCAATACATTCCTAACTCCTCCCGAGAACACCCGCTACCTTCTGACATTACGGACATATACGTCACTCAAATCGATACTAGAACATCCCTGAAAACTCAAATTCTCTTTCCAAATATTCAATACTATAAATATGTACTAAAAATTTAAAATTCTTTAAAATATCAAATTTCAATTAATACTATTCCAATTCTGGATCAACTAATATAAACATGCTTCAACAATTTTCATTTTGTCCATTTCCAGCACGGCACTTCCGGGGCGTCAAAAGTGCGATCGTCCTATTTGAAGGGCGCATGCGCGCAAGTCATTGAATTTCTGTAGATATTATGTGAGTCAAAAATGAAGACTAGCTCATCGAGTGAGTAATAGTATCAAGGATTAAGAGCATGAATCACCACAAAATAAGAATTTACGAGAATAGAAAAGATCGTACCGTACCTACTTGTGCACGAAAGTATTTTTATTATTTTATTAGTTGCATCATGTGTTTGTCATGACATTACGAACATTTCAGCGTTACTGTTAATTTTCTGTATCCGAAATACTTTTTCCTCAAAATATTCCTTGTTGACTGTCATATGTCTTAAATAAATGAGTTATCTTGGTACCTTTCGGCATGTTTAGTACTCTCTGTATCCATCAATGTAAGTATGTTATTTAATTTTTTTCTCGCTGACCTATGATTTTCATTTTGATTCTTATCAATATCCTCTGAACGTAGGTCAGTTTAAGAAAATTCACGCCGACCGCAGGGACTGGCCGCTGCATCTTTCTCAGTGTGAGGGAGAGGGGGCGCCTTAGCGAGTTGATCAGAAAGGTTGGTCTTGCGGGTGGTAGGGGGTGTCGTCCTGAGCGCTCGTGTTCCTTGCCTCAGTGCGCGACTGACTACGGTTGCAGCCACGCTGAGCTACTTCTCTCTTTACAGATATACGGCGACTTCTTCAGGTGAGCTATTCATTACCAGCAGAGCGCCAAAAATGATTTTGTTAGAGATTGGTGTACACTGATATGCTTGTGCCCTATATCGTGTGCCTAACTAAAGCAGAAGCTGTCGTAATAGAGCCTGCGTGAACTCGGTTATTTTTGAGTACAGCAGTTCTAATATTGCACATCGCACATTGCGAGGAGATTGATTTGTAGTTCATTATCAAACTGAAAGGATGTCGTTTTCTACATCAATATAAATCAAGAATAACTAACTGAATAACTATTTTTTAAAAAAAATTCTATTAACGATTCATGTTAAACTTGAGTCATAACAAACAGGATTGACATTTATATTTTCATTGTCTGTTTTACAATTTTCGCCTCTTAAATAGTAAAAACAACAATAATGGCTATTTTTATTTTCGTGAATTTTGTTTACTTCGGAATGGCATTACAAATTAGGGCACCTTTGACCGCTTACTGTTAAAAAATAGTCTTAGTTTGGTCGTTTCGAATTACATTTGCAATTTTGGTCATCTAGAAAGACGTGGACTTCATGTTTTGATATAAATAATTTAGGTAACTTAACTGAAGCAGGTGTTCCAGACTTGAATCGTGTAATATCGAACACTGTCTTAAATGAAAATACACATTAAATTTCATTACAGAGATTGAAAATTGGAATATTTTAATAACACCAAAAAGTATTGATTATAATTCTCCGTGCAGGTAATGTGAGTAAGATCTATACGTATTTGTTTCCGATCGTATATATGCATGTACTGCAGAGAAATATATTTGAATTACATAGTTTACTCTCGCCTCAGCTGATCAGCAAGAGAAGCAGCATGCCGGTTTGTTGGGTAAGGTGGCACGCGGTTGCGCGTGAATGTGGGGTGATCGCTCTTCGACCAGTTGCCGGCCGAGGCGCCCGCAACTGTGTTAAAGAATTGTGCCACGCGTTGAGATACACGTCCTAACTCGGAACTGTGGAGTCAAAAGTAGTGCAGCATTTCTTTTCCAGTATATTTGATTTGTCGGAAGAAAAAATGGATGATTATACGGTTTCTGATAATATTCACAAACTTTAAATAATGCAAGCTCATAAAAATAATAATCATTTTTCCAGAAATAGTTAATGTTATATTTTGCAAAAATATTTTTCTATAAATCTGATACGGAACTTTCATTATTATTATTATTATTATTATTATTATTATTATTATTATATGCGTATGGGCCATTTTATTTGACCAAGCTTCGTGTAATCTTCCGATGCCCAGTCATATTTATCCCGGAGATATCAACGTGTGTCATTATGGGGGACAGCTTTTCGGCTGTATCCCATGGTAAGACAAGGTTGTTAAGCCTTGAATTGTGAGGTGAGATGATGAGGGGTAATCGTGGCCTTTTTGAAATATCCCAGCATTCGCCTGTATCACCGAGAGAAATCACAAAAACCCCGGTCAGGATGGCCGGGCCGGGGATCGAACTCGGGTCTTCCGACTGTGAAGCCAGCCACTTCGCTTGGTTGTTATTGTTGTTATAATAATAATTATTATTACATAGTTTTTCAAAATTTCTCACTCGTCCGGAGTTTTCAGATATAACCCAAGGATAGAACGTCAACACATATGGTGAGACGGTGGGGAGAAGTTCTTGTTCCAGTGCACTGAGGTTCCTCTTCAATGTCTAGGAGAGAGAAGCTTACTCACTATATTGGTGGCTGCCAGCAACACCACCTTCTGCATAGTTCTGAAATGCCATTCATTTAGATGAAGTTTCTCTTTCACAATCCTGCAATCTTCAGCAACAACCACTTGAGTTGAAAACAACGGGTACAATATTTACCTCTATTAATTTGCATAGAGTTTTCAGTTCAATTGAGAGTGGCTGGTATTTTCTTTTCTTTTCTGCAATTATTGACAGCAGATTATGATCTAATGGGAGAGGGATATCTATTATTATTGCGCTGCGAGTAGTGTTGCCAAATACGACAATATTAGGCTTATTTGCTTCCATTGTTTCATCTGTAACTACATCTATCCCACAGATTTTTGTTATCTCAATAGACAGAACTTGCTCCAGTAGATATTTGTAATAAGGCAAGCTTTCCTTTATGAGGACAATCTTTTGGCAAGAGCTTGGTGGATGATTTTGGCCTCATTATTATGACGTTGTAAATCTGTTTGTGCCAACTGGGAACATCCACTGAAGATGTGTTGAATAGATTCGGCGACCTTCTTACACTGGCGACACTTGTCTTTCATGATATATCGCCTGTAGTTATTAGTGGTTACTTCCTGATCTTGAATGGCCAGTGAAAAACTTCGCGTCTCGCCAAAAGGCCCAGCAGTTCTCAACCAATCAGTCGATCTCTTCATGTTGATGGAGTTACTTCGAAGCGCTGTAGCAAATCTGCCATGGAGTTCCTCTGATCTCCACTGCTCATTTCGGTCCTAAGATTTCGGAAAATTTGGATTGCGGTCTTTTTGGAGCAGCGTAAGAGGAGTATAGCCGTGATCTTGAGCGAAAATGGTCGTCATGGATTCGTTGTTGATGAAATACTTTCTAAGCTGTTTTTATTGCGGCACATAGCTTCAAGACTTAACAGTTCACGTCCTCCGTGGTGTCTTGAAAGATGAAGCCTTTCGGTGGAACTTCGAGGATGATGCAATGATGCATCCGATGTGTTGATAGAAGTGTTCTAACTTTACTATCGAAAGCTTGCAAAGATGTCTCAGATCACTTGACAACTCCAAATGTATGTGATGCTGTTGGGAGAGCCCAGGTGTTAATTCTTGTAAATTTGTTTATCGAAGTAATACAGAACTTGCAAATATTCGTAACACGAGAGATCCTTTCCACAGATTTTCTTATCTCACCTACAGGAGACTCAGATTCTTATATTCATTGCCATTGAAAAGTTCCTGAATTCTCAAATCTTCCATCAAATGAGGTTCATTCTCTGTATTCTGGACCCGACCTTTCTTAACGTGAACAACAGCTCACTTCTCCAAACCAAGATCCATACAAACAGAGCTGCTGAAGCTTTCAGCAAGGGTCAGCATGCTGCGAAGGTGTTGTGGCCCTTTAGCGTAGAGCTTGAGATTATCCATATGTAATTGGTGGGAAATTATCTTATTAGGGTTCTTCAAAGCATATCCATAGCCTGAGGCATTCAGCATCCTACTCAAAGGGGTTCAATGCTAGACAAAATCAGAGCAGGCTTAGGCTATCTCCCTAGAAAATACCTCTACAAATTCGCAAATAATGTCAGGTAACTCAATTTCCCTCTCGTAACATACAGTGTTGTTTGCCAGCTGTTCATGCACGTTGAAAGAAATTAAATGATAGAGAGGCGAACCTTGTAGAGTTGAAGGGTTCGCTGCAATTAAGAATGCGGAAGGGAATCAAATGCCTTTCGGAAATCAAACCAGCTCAATGACAAATTATGTTTTCTTTTTAACATGCTTGGATACAATATTATCTATTGTCAATAATTCTTTGCATTCTCGAGAGCCTTTCCTAGAACCAACCTGTCCTGGGAAAAGCAGCTCACTTTCAGTTATTCGTCAAGTTTGGTGTCAATAATGGAGGTGAGAACTTTATAAATTGTAGGTAGACCCGACGTCTGTAATTCTCTGGGCAAGACGCTTTTCCACCGTTCGGTAACATGAATGTCACGCCTAAGGTAAAAAATTGTGGCAGCGTAGATGTTCCTTGCAAAATGTTTGGAATTGACTCACCAATCAACCATGAGTGCATGTCAGTTATTTCCACCAAAAACGATGTATTCCATTTACTCCTGGAGCTTTCCAATTGTGGGCTCTCTTTAAAGATCGTTTTGCATCCTCTGTTGAAATCACAACTCCATTCATTTCCGGGATATTGTGACACGCCCCTTCTTTCTGTGGTATCCAGTATGCTTCATTAAAATGTTGCTTTGGGGTGGACCAAATTTGAGACCAAAAATTCGTCATGGCAGAAGCACTTGGAGGGTTTATGTAATTGTCATTGGTGCCTCTCGTCTCTAGATGTCCATAAAAGCCTTTTTGGTTGTTAGAGAATAGGGAATTTTCTTTCTTGCGTTGCGCGGATTCATTATATCTTCTTATTCTGCCCCCTAGAGCTACTATTCTTTATCTTAATCTCTCATCTTCAACCTTGAACCTACTTTCCAGGTCTTTTTGTGTTCTTTTATCTTCAGTCTTCAGAGAATTGAGCGAATAATTGCGCGAATCTTCTTTGAAATCCCTGCTTTGTCGCTGAAATACTCAGCAATATGCGAGATATCTCGTCTAGCTTGGACAATTTGATTTTCTATTTTTTTAACCATGCCAGTGGATTTTGTCTTTCATAAGGTTTCTTATTAAGAGAAGTACCATTTCTCTCCCGTACTTTGTAACCTAGGTGTTGACAGGTAGCAATTGCAGCACAGTGAACCAATCCGGTTCCATCTTCAAGAGTAGAAGCTTCTGAAATGTTTGGGGGCAATAATTTGGTTCGTTTTGCCAACAATCTCATACACATACACATATGCATTTCAGTTTTGGTATTTTTGGTCTTGAATCTAATGATATTCCTTAGTAGTGAAGCCTCGTTACCTAATAGATATCTTTAAGAGATTTGTTCTCCATTTCGTTATCAAGTTGGGGGATGGAATCCACAACGTGTTGTTCGTTCTCATGAACTCTTTGTTCATGTTCATGTTCATTAACTTGCTGATCCAAGACTACCTCGATTGTTATTTCTAGTCTCACTTCCGTCTTGGGAAGATTTAACTCTGCATCTGAAACATTTTTCTTCTCCTGATGGTGTTCAGTTGGCTGCACACACGTTCCTCATTTAGAGCGCTTTCCGGATATATCTTTCTCCACTCAGTTCAGAGTATTCTGAAGCCCTCTCATTCCGTCTCGTTTTTTTGTGCTTCTATAGGGCCGGTGGCCAGCGTGACTTTTCCTTAAAGCACTACTTATAATTATACTCTCTGGGGGGGGGGCAGTACTGGATAACTG